ACAAGAGCGAAACTCCGCCTCAAAAAAAAAAAAAAAAAAAAAAAACATTCCTCATCTGCCTCTGTGTCCTTTTTTTTAATTTTTATGTATTTATTTTTTTGAGACGAAGTCTCGCTCAGTCACCAGGCTGGCGTGCCACTGGTGTGATCTCAGCTCACTGCAACCCTTGCATCCCAGGTTCAAGCTACTCTCCTGCCTCAGCCTTCCAAGTAGCTGGGACTACAGGCATGCTCCACCATGCCCAGCTAATTCTTGTATTTTTAGTAGAGACAGGTTTCACCATGTTGGCCAGGATGGTCTCGATCTCTTCATCCGGTGATCAGCCCGCCTCGGCCTCCCAAAGTACTGGGATTACAGGCTTGAGGGACTGCACCCTGACCTCTGTGCCTTTATCAGTCCCCACTTCCTTTAGTCCCAATGTACAGGTGAGAAAACTGAGGCTCAAAAGAAATGCTTCACATCAAAGCAGACACAAAGGTTTCCACGCTCCCACACAAACATCCATGCAGAAACAGTCCCCATGCAAGTTCAGATGAGAAAACCAAGGCCTAGGGAGGGGAATTTTTGCACAAGGCAGAGATGTGTTCGCCCCTAGAGAGCTTTGGTCACACACAGAGAACCAAGGCAGGCAAATATAGACAGACAGGAAGTCTCTGGCTCACCCAAGCTGAAAGTGGGGAGCCCAAATTCAGGGAGACAAGGTTTACACATGTTCTGATGGGAGGCCACCCCCATCGGCCCAGCCTGCCGGGCAATAGGACTGAAGTGTGGAAACTTGTAGTGGCCCAGCCAGGAGGGGGTGAGGCCAGGGTGATTCCAGCCACCTTCACCCCGTATCCCAGGTCCTGCACCCAGCCGGTGAGTCCCCAGCTTCCCCCTCCCTGGAGGCCTCCAGGAAAAGATCGGGGAACTCCCTGCAACGGGCGGTGCGCCTTTTTAGACAGGGAAAGTGGCCGCCAGGGCGACCCCCTCTGGATCAGGCCCAGTCCTGCTCCCCCAAGGGTCCAGTGCTCTCCACTCACCCTGCGCCCTGGTCGTGCGCCCCCCGCAGTCGCGCTGCCTTGAACTGAGTGAGCCGAAGCCGGTCCGGGGGCGGGGCTGGAGCCTCGCCGGGGCAGGCGAGGGGGGGGCCAGCGACGCAAAGGGCCGGCGGTCGCTAGCAGTTGCCCCCTCCCCTCGGGCCCCGGGCACTCAGCCCGTGGCTGCCAGCCTGTGCCACCCGCCGCGGCACCGGAACGCGCCCCAGCGGCGACTGGCACAGGCGAGCCCTCAGCTCCCCGCTCCGGGCCTGGGCTGCCCCCTCCCAGGGACACTCCTTCGCGATGGGAGGCCTCGGAGAGGAGGCGGGAAAGGGAGGGTTCTGCGGCAGGACGGTCGCAGCCTGAGCCTCTTCTCCCCAGCGGCGGGGTCTCCTCTGTCCTGGGTGTCCAGGCACTGCGCCCCCCCATTGCCCACGCACCTGTGAACTGAGCTTCCTGGGCTGCACCCCAAGGACGCCCCGTCGATGGTTCGGAGGAGTCTTTAGTGCTTGCTTAGCAGGAGTCTTCAGCGGGGGCCACCTTAGCCTGAGTCCGATCCCACCGGCAGATAGGTCCCTGCTGCTCCCGGGCATGGGCCCCTCCCAATTTCCCGCTCCCGCCCCCGGCTCAGGGCGAGTGGGGGTGAGACAGGGGCGGGCAGGATTGTTCTGGGAAGTTGCCGCTCCTTAGATAAAGAGGGTCTGTCCAGTCCCACCCCCTGGATTCCGCGTTCCCCCGACCGGTTCTCTCCCACCCTTATCGCTGAGGACTAAGCAATTTACTCACTAATGGTGTTTCTGGACTGTGTCAGTAACAGTAAACCCCACCGATGTAAGGTTTTTGTTTTTTTTCCTCACAGACAGGATCTCACTCAGCTGCCCAGAGTGGAGAGCAGTGGCACCATCATAATTCACTGCGGCTGCGACCAGCTGGACTCAAGCCATCCTCCCATCTCAGCCCTCTCAACATAGCTGCCAGGACTCCGGTCGCGGTCGCTTGCCACCACGCCCAGATTTTTTTTTTTAATAGAGACAGGGTCTTGCTATGTTGCCCAGGCTGGTCTTGAACTCCTGAACTCAAGCGATCTTCCCACTTCGACCTCCTAAAGTGCTGGGATTACAGGTGTGAGCCACCGCAGCCCGTCCATTGGGGTAGGGATTTGAGTCTATTGTAGGCACTGCCAGGACACAGCCAGTGCCCAGTAAGTGCTGCATGAATGAATGAAGGAAAGAATGAGTGTCTCCCTCACGTCCTCTGTGTCTCTCTCAGTAGGATCTTAGAGTCTCTTGCCTGTGTGTCTCTTTGTCTCTGCATGTCTCTTTGTTGCTGTCTGTGTTACTCTCCCACGCCTCTCCCAGGCCACTGCTCCTCCAACGACCCGTCCCGCTGGCCCCGAGACGCCTTCACCCCCCACTTCCCAGGAGCTTCCAGATGGTCTCAGCTCTTCCATCCTCAGACTCAGGAAGGGGGGTCTGGGTCCTGCTGCTGTGACCTTCTCCAGGACCATGCCCTTTGCCCCTGATGCTTCAGGCCCTGCTGGCCGCGGGTGGGGTGAGAGCGCCCCAGGAGAGATGAGCCAGAGGCTGAGAATAAGCGTGGATCGGGGGTGCCCTCATGGGAGGAAACTCTGGGGACGCTCAGGCTGGGTCATGTAACCCCTTGGGGGTCCCGGCCCTCCTGCCCCCGCTGTTCCCTGGGTGGGCAGAACCTTTCTTTCCTACTCTGCTCAAAGACACAGCCAATGGGACCCACAGAGTGGGGTGGTGTTAACCCTTTGGTGCCAGGTCTGCCACAATACTGTGGATTAAGTCCACTCCAATGGTGTCCGCTGGGATGAGCCCTGAAGATCTCCCAACATGGCTGCGCTTGGCACCCAGTAGGCACTCAATAAATGACCTCCTTCTGTAAAGGGGAAGCCACGCCCCAGAGTGGGAAGGTGGCCCCTTCACACCTCCCAGGCGCCAATCTCACCTCCCACGAAATGGAGCTCTTCCGGCCGCGGGTCCCGGCCCAGCAACCCGCCCTCCCACTGCCTCCCTGCACTTCTTTCCCACGAATTGGGACCCTGGGACTCAGGCTCCAGGATCTGGACAGATGTCGGGAGCCCCGTCCCTAACTGCCATTCCGCACTCCCGACCATGGTTCTTTTGTTGTTGTTTTTTTGTTTGTTTTGTTTTTGAGATGGAGTCTCACTTTGTGGTCCAGGCTGGAGTGCAGTGGCATGATCTCAGCTCACTGCGACCTCTGCCCCCTGGGTTCAAGTGATTCTCCTGCCTCAGCCTCATGAGTAGCTGGGACTACCGGCACCCACTATCACAGCTGGCTAATTGTTTGTATTTTCAGTAGAGACGGGGTTTCACCTCATTAAGCATGATGGTCTCCATCATCTCCTCACTTCGTGATCTGCCTGCCTCGGCCTCCCAAAGCGCTGGGATTACAGGCATGAGCCACCGCAGCCGGCTGTCCACATTCTTAAAACTCAGATCACGTTTTCTCTCCTGCTCCAACCCTCCCAAGGTTCCCTGTGTCTCTCAGAGTAAGTGATCAAGTCCTCAGCGAGGACCTCCCCACCCCGAGGATAAGGCCATATGCAGTCCCGATCTGTCTTTTGCTGTTACTTCTGTGTCTGTCTCTGCTCCACTCTGCTTCTGGCTGCTGGGCTCCTCCGAGTTGCACATACACTTCAAGACCTTTGAGCTGGGCATGGAGGCATGTGCCTGTAGTTCAGCTACTCGGGAGGCTGAGGTGGGAGGATCACTTGAACCCAGGAGTTCTGGGCTGTAGTGCGCTATGCCAATCAGGTGTCCACACTAAGTTCAGCATCAATATGGTGACCTCCCAGGAGCGGGAGATCACCAGGTTGCCTAAGGAGGGATGAACCCACCCGTGGAAACGAAGTGGTCAAAACTTCCATGCTGATCAGTAGTGGGATCGAGCCTGTGAATAGCTACTGCACTCCAGCCTGGGCAACATAGCCAGATCCCATCTCTAAAAATAATTTTTTTAATTTAAAATAAAAATAATAAATAAAGAAAAAAAGACCTTTGAACTTGGGGGCCGGGTGGTCTGGGGCACCCTTCTCCCACCCCTTCCTAGCTAGTCAGCTGGTCACCTGGTCACCTCCTCAGAGAGGCCTTCAGTGATCTGTCCCTCATCTCAAATGGCAGTTGGCATTATCTGTAATCACCTTGTTCTTTTTGTTTTTTTGAGACAGAGTTTCACTCTTGTCGCCCAGGCTGTAGTGAATGGCACGATCTTGGCTCACTGCAACCTCCACATCCCAGGTTCAAATGATTCTCCTGCCTTAGCCTCCTGAGTAGCTGGTACCACAAGGCACATGCCACCATGCCTGGCTTTTTTTTTTTTTTTTTTTTTGTATTTTTAGTAGAGAGGGGGTTGCACTGTGTTAGCCAGGATGGTCTCCATCTTCTGATCTCATGATCCTCTTGCCTTGGCCTCCCAAAGTGCTGGGATTACCAGCATGACCCATCACACCTGGCCTTTTTTTCTGAGACAAGAGTCTTGCTCTGTTGCCCAGGCCGGAGTGCAGTGGCATTATTTGGGTTCACTGCAAACTCCTCTGCCCCTGAAATCTCCCTGCCTCCCAGGTTCAAGTGATTCTCGTGCCTCAGCCTCCTGAGTAGCTGGGATTACAGGCATGCACCACCACACTCAGCTAATTTTTTGTATTTTTAGTAGAGACCAGATTTCACCATATTAGCCAGGCGGGTCTCCAGCTCCTGACCTCAGGTAAACCATGCCCACCTCCACCTCCCAAAGTGCTGGGATTACAGGCATGAGCCACCACACCCAGCCACTTTGTTCATTTATTTATTCATCTGCCCTAATGTGTATCTCTGACCTAGAGCCTCCGCTCCAGGAAAGCAGGGCCACTGTCTGTCCCTCTGTCCAGATTCCTAAAGGTTAAGGACTCACACTCTTTTTTCTTTCTTTTCTGAGACAGTGCCTCACTCTGTCACCCAGGCTGGAGTGCAGTGCTGTGATCACAGCTCCCTGCAGCCTCAGCTTTCCAAGCTCAAGCAATCCTCCTGCCCTAGCCTCCTGAGTAGCTGGTGCCGCCGCTGCAGCTGGCTACTTTTTAAAATTCTTTGTAGAGACAAGGTCTCACCACGTTATCCAGGCTGACCTTGAACTCCTGGGCTCAAGCAGTCCTCCCGCCTTGGCCTCCCAAAGTGCTGGCATTACAGGAATGATACAGGACTCAAGGTCTGGAGGCAGGCAAGTGATGTCCATTCTGAGCCTCAGTGGACTTACCTGTAAAACTGAGATAATAGGTCAGGTGCAGTGGCTCACGCCTGTAATCTGAGCACTTTGGAAGGCCAAGGCAGGCAGATCACCTGAGGTCAGGAGTTCGAGACCAACCTGCCCAACATGGTGAAACCGTGTCTCTACTAAAAATACAGAAATTAGCTGGGCACTGTGGCTCATGCCTGTAATCTCAGCTACTCCGGTGGCTGAGGCAGGAGAATCACTTGAACGTGGCAGGTGGAAGTTGTAGTGAGCCACAATCGCGCCACTGCACTCCAACCTGGGCAACAAAGTGGGACTTCATATAAAATAATAAAAAATAAAAAAATTTGAGATAACCTCGCCCACTCCAAGGCTGTTGTTGAAGATGAAATGAACAGCTGGAACTGAGCCAGGGCATACAGTGAGAGCTCCACCAACGTTACTGCAGGTATTACTGGTCACCACTTTATCCCCAAAGAAGAATTAGGGCAATGGACTCACAAGGAATCAGCCCCAGGCATGGCCACCACCTGCCCCCACCGCATCCCTCCTCCCACACCCCGCAGGCCAAACTGTCTCTTCCCAGGCGCAGGGCACCCCTGGCCTCTGTGTTCCTGCTGTGCCTCGCAGCAGCCTGCCTGCCTGAAGCATGTCTAGACCAGCACACCTGCCTGGCCGGTTCTGCTGCCAGCACCGTGGCCCACAGGGGCAGCTCCACCCAGCGCCCACTCTTACAGAGCTGGGTCTGCGCCTTCAAGAGGGCAAGCTGCCTCCCACGGTCTCTGTTTCCCATTCCCATCTTCCCCACTCTCCCCACTTATGTTTTTTTGAGACAGAGTTTCACTCTGTATTTTCTGTGGAGTGCAGTGGCACGATCTCGGCTCACTACAACCTCTGGCTCCTGGGTTCAAGGGATTCTCCTGCCTCAGCCTCCTGAGTAGCTGTAATCACAGGTGCCCACCACCACGTCCAGCTAATTTTTGTATTTTTAGTAGAGACAGGGTTTCATCAGATTGGTCAGACTGGTATCAAACTCCTGACCTTGCGATCCACCTGCCTCGGCCTCCCAAAGTGCCGGCATTACAGGCAAGAGCCACCGTGCCTGGCCTTTTTTTCCTTTTCTTTTTTTGAGGCAGGTTTGGCTCTACCACCCAGGCTGGAGTGCAGTGGCGTGATCTTGGCTCAGTGCAACCTCTGCCCCTGAGTTCAAGGGATTCTTCCACCACAGCCTCCCAAGCAGCTTTTTTTTCTATTTTTGTAGAGATAGCATTTAGCCATGTTGCCCAGACTGGTCTCAAACTACGGGGCTCAAATGATCCTGCTG